TCAGTTAATTGTAATAGAGTTAGTAGCAAAAAAAAAAAAAAAAAAAAAAAAAAAAAAAAAAAAAAAAAAAACCGATATGTTAATATAATTTTATTATTATTATTATTATTATTATATATATATATATATATATATATATATATATATATATATAGGGAAGGGTTCATGTGCAGGTATTTCTTTCTGTGCAGTTGTGCAGTTAGATTTGAGTCGTTGATCAAATCTAGATCAACGGCTCAAATCAATGAAAATTAAAATTAAAAAAAAACGCGCACTATAAGAATTAAGACATTTAGTGACAAATTTTTTGTGACACTTCGTAATTTAGTCACAAATAATACCTTTTTTGTGATTAAAAAATAGGTTAACACTATTGCTTATGATAAGTGTGACAACTATTTTTTTGGTTACAGATAATATGGTAATTGTGACAACTAAGTATTTGTTACACATAAGTTGTCATTATTACTAGAATGATAGTGTCGTAACCTAAGTTGTCACTATTTGTTGTCACTAAATGTATGTGTGTTTTGGCGGCATTATAATTATAGTGGGAACAGAAGTAATTGTGACAAAATATAGTGTGGCACACAAATTTTGGTACTTTTTGTGACAAATAGTTGTTGGTCACTCTGTTTTATATATCTGTGACAACTCTTTTTTGTCAATAAAAATACAATTAGAAATGAGATACGATTGTCAGAAATATTTAATTTGTGACGCTCTATTATTTCCTAACAAAAATTACTAAATTGTAACAATAATTGTGCTGAATTCAAGTTTTGTCACTAATGTATTAATAATTGTGACGAGTAATTATTTGTTACAATGATTTTGTCATGCACTATAATTAAATAGAATAATATTTGTGTGAAGTTATGTTGTAATTAATGTTTGCCACTAAAATTGCATTCAAGTTGTTGCCAAAGTAATTTGTTGTGAACTAAATATTAAATATTATGATCAATTAAAATGCAACTAGTTAGTGATTCTTAAAATAAATGTAATTTGAAAATTAAATACATTTTATTTTTTGAGAATAATTTTCTTTTTCTGACATATAAGTTCATTATCATTTACGGGAGCTATCTAACAAACAATTCCACAAGTCAAATTGTTTCAATTCATTCTAATACAAATGTTAAAAAGCTCATGCTTATCACTAATTAGCTTTGAAGGATATGACAACAGATAACCAAAGAACTCCAAGGTTAAGCGTGCTTTACTTACAAGATGGGTGACCTACTGGGAAGTAAGCATAGTGCATCGCTAAAATATATCAATTGGTATAAGAGTTGAGGTCACAAGTCCGAATCGATCCAAATAGGCAAGGCGTAGGTCGAGCAATGTCTAGTCCCGGGGTAGGGTGGGGTCAACTGAGTTTACCCCGAGTTCAACCTAATTTATTGAACAATAAGTACAACTATTGTGACTAAAGTGTTGTCACTAGATCATTTTTTTGTAATAACATATTTGGTCTCAAATTATACATTTATTGTGACAACTATCGTTATCACTCAAATATTACTTTTAGTGTAAGTAAATATTGTCACAAAAGTAGTGAGTAATTGTGACAACTTTTTTCAAAAGTCTTCACTACTACAATAGTGAAGGAGGATATAGTGACGACAGGTGACGACTTCAAAAATTGGTCACTAATTTCAATAGTGACCAAAATTGATAGTTTCGGTGACAACTTCTGTTGTCACTAAATGTAAAATTTCTTGTAGTGGCGTGTCTAGAAGAAAGCCACGTACCTTTAAGTGTTAGATCTTAAGCACAAACTCACGCACATTAAGCACAATCTCACGCACATTAAGCACAAAACCCACGCATTTAAGTATTAACTCACAGACCTTAAGTTTCAACAACTACTGACATTAAGCACAAACTCACGCACATTAAGTACAAAACTCACGCACATTAAGCACAATCTCACGCACATTAAGCACAAAACCCACGCACTTTAAGTATTAACTCATAGACATTAAGATTCAACAATTACTGACATTAATCACTAACCTCACACACATTAAGCATAAACCCTACGCAAATTAAGCACAAACTCCACTTATATTAAGAACAAATCTCACGCACCTTAAACACAAAAGGCCACACTTTAAGTTTTACCAACTACTCACATTAAGCACAACCTCACGCACATTAAGTACAAAACTTACGCACCTTATGCACAAGACTCACGCATCATATATACAAAACTCACGCACATTAATCACAGAACCGCTCACATTAATTTTGACCTAGATTCAAAAATTACAAAATTGCCACCGCATTTTTTTAAAAAAATTTTGAAATCCTGGACGTTGATTTAAGCGAGATGAATGGGCCAAATTAAACCGCACAACGGCACCTGAGCACTCTAACCGCACCAGAACCTAATTCTATATATATATATATATATATATATATATATATATATATATATATATATATATATATATATATATATATATATAGGCTCCGGATCCCATGAGGTCACATAGATAAATGAGTTGACGAGATCTAATCATATCCATTAGATCATTGCATATTAAAGGCTGAGATTGAAATAGATTTTGTATGCATTTTATGTAGTAGTCTATGCATAAGGGTGAATAAGTAATTGTAATACAATAGATATTTATGGTTACAAATAAATTGGAATATATTCCATGATTAGCAACTGATTTGTGGGAAAGAATTATTTATTAACGGTATTATATTATTATTGATACGCTGGTGACCCTCTGACCGCAAGCATTCGCCAAACAGCCTCAACGTGCAAGGATTGTTTGACATCAACGGCCACAGTGATGGTGCTACCGGACACAGGTATGTGCATCTGTTTGCGAACTATATTATGCTTTAATAGTGGTGTGCGTATATTATTATGGGTCTGTGCGTCGGGATGCATTTGTGTGCAAGTTAGTGCATTTCAAAGCGTGGGTGTCTAATGAGTGCATGAGGGTGGCGTTTACTTAGAATATTTTTATGAAGGAGGTGTTTTGGGTTCTATGTATTGTTTATTTTTTTTCCTTGTTTATGTGTTTTTGTATTTTACCGGCGTGGTGGTGTTGTTGGGGGTGTTGTTTTGGTTGATGGAGTGTTGTGTTAATCGGATGGTTCACGGGGTTATTTAATTTTTTTTCCCGGAGATGGTTTTTTTTTTTTTTTGGTTTTTTTTATCCCCGACTTGTAATTCATTAGTGAGGTCTGCGATATATAATGATGGAGTGTGCAAATGTCGTTTGTTGTTTTCAAGAAGGTTGTGGCGTTTTTTTTTTTTTTTTTTTGGAGATATCTTGACGAATACATTTATAAATTAGAGCATACACTATATGTGTTGAGTGTGGAAGAGCTATTTTCCTTGTGAAATACTGCTTTAATTACACTGCATATCATTTTCCTTGTGCAGTGTTGAAATCACACGCAAATTCGTTTGGTTTTTAAAAATTGTTTCATCCTTTGCGACTGATTTACTAAGCCAAGTGTAGTTATTAACACGGTTGTTGGGCGTATGTTTTACGGCTTGTGCATCGGAGGGTCGTAACATGTGCAAGTTATGCCTTTGGTTAAAGCAATGCAGATAATTAGTATGTGCAATGGATTACAAACCCATACGTATAGACTAATTATTTTGATGCTGAACAGATTACTTGTTGTTTACTATTAATATGTTAATGAAACATATGTTATAGGTGTGTGCAGTGCAGAGGACATTGGTGCAAACGAATCAGAAACGGATTGTAGAATGGATATTAGCCCTGGAGGTACGAAATATTGGTATACAGAATGCGACCGTAACCTGAAACCATTTGAAGGTCAAATGTTTAATACACTGGAAGATGGAATCCAATTTTATACGATGTATGCCGCAACAACCGGATTTGATGTGCGTCGAAGTTCGGATAAAAAGAACAATTTTGGTATTGTTCTGAAAAAGGATGTTGTGTGTTCGCGGCAAGGGTTTAAGGAGACTAGGGGCAAAGAAACATTGGGTGAAGGAGGGGGTTCGAAGAAGAAGCGAAGGCGGACCACTAATAGAGTTGGTTGCGGCGCTAGGATTGTAATGAAGATAATTTCGGACGGGAGAAATAAGGTTCACAAATTTGAAGAAAGACACACACATTGTTTGTGCGAGGAAAGTCATAAACCATTTATGAAAGTGAATCGCAAATTGGAGATTGCACACCAAGAATTCATTACTAAGTGTGAAAAAGCAAACGTTGGTGCAAGCAAAAGTTTCGACATATATGCCGAGATTGTAGGTGGTCCGGAGAACGTTGGTGCGACGCAACAGGACTTTAAGAATTACCGAAGAGAGCTATTAGCGTACATGAAGTGGGGAGATGTGCAAATGGTTATATCAAACTATCTTGAACAGAAAATAGATTGTGATGATATGTATTTTGAATACGAGGTGAACGCAAATGATCAATTAGCTCGTGTCTTCTAGGCGGATGGTATGGCAAGGAAAAACTACGGTGCGTTCGGGGACGTGGTATCCTTTGATGCAACGTACAAAACAAATAGGTATGAGCGAGATAATTTAAATAGATGTGTGTGTAAATTTTAATTTGTGGCATAGGATGAGGTTATGTTTATGAAGCGACATATACAGGAAGTAAATAGTACGATGTGCATGTTAAGAAGGGTTGTGCGTGTGTGTAAGTGAGTTCTTCACTCGCACGGTGCGTGTATGTATACGAAACAACGTATAATTTAATTTTAGGGCTGTCTGTGATGGGGTTGTTAGTCTGTGCGAGACTATAGTATGTTTGTGAATGTGTGTGCAATGTGTGCAATGTGTGCGTTTGATTGTTTTTGCCAACTATGTAACGTCCGATTAATTGCTATGTAATGGAATCAGGTACCACCTTGTGTTTGTCCCATTCACTGGAGTAGACAACCACAAACGATGTGTGACATTTGCAGCGGCCCTGATTGATAAGGAGGACGTGGAGTCGTACAGTTGGGTATTAAAACACTTCAAGAACGCAATGGGGACTGCACCACCTATAATAATAACCGATCAAGACCCAACGATGAAAATTGCAATCGCAAATGTGTTTGGAGGTAGTCGTCACTGTTACTGTATGCGGCACATAATGACTAAGGTTAGCGAGAAAGTGGGGGCTGAGATGTCAAAGAATAATGAGTTCCGGAGGGCATTGAATAGTGCCGTGTGGAACGAGAAAGCAACGAGAACAGAATTCGAGATTGGGTGGAAATCTGTAATTGGGAAATACAACCTAAATGAAAATCGATGGCTAACCCGTATGTACGAGGAGCGTGCGTCATGGGTGCCCGCATTTTGCGATGATGTGTTCATGGGTGGGTTACTACGTACCACCTCTCGTTCAGAGGCAGGGAATAGGATTTTCCAGGGTAACATGAACAAGCACCTATGCCTGGTAGAATTTTTCACCCGTTTCGAGCGTGCGGTAAGAAAACAACGAAAGAACAACCTAGAACTGACCGCAAGTTGCATCGGACATACACCAGTTTTTGAGACACAACTACGAATAGAGCTATCTGCCGCAAGAGTATACACGTTGACTATTTTTTATGAGGTCCAAAAGGAAATAAGTGCAGGGTGTTTTAAATGTCGAGTTCGTTCATTCACTGAGGCAGAACGGTTAAAGACATATGTGGTTGAGGATGAACACGAGCAACGATACACAGTTATAGTGCAAAATGGGAGCAACATAGCATGCACATGCAGAATGTATGCACGAGTTGGCCTCCTTTGTAGCCATGCTTTTGTCGTACTCAAAGATGAACGTATCGATGACATCCCCCCACAACATATTACACCCCGATGGACGCGAGAGGCCGTGAAGCACTCCCCCACTGATCGGGACACAGATAAACAGAACGGTAACAAGACTTTGGGGCACAGCAACAATGAGGAAGGACAACTAATGAATATATTTCATAGATGTTTGGGCAAGGCTAAAGGAGTACCCCAAAAAATGAAGGAGTTGAGACTGTGCATGGAAGAGTTTGAAGCAACATTCGGGGATGAAGAAGAACCTGAGGTGAATGCAAGTGGGAAGCGTGCAATAATGGAGTCGTATTGCGGTGTCGTAACCCCAAAGACGATAGAAGTGCATCCAGCTCCAGTAGCAAAAACCAAAGGGTCTGGCAAACGAATGAAATTAGCAAGGGAGGCGGCAATGACAAAGCATTATAAGAAAAAACGCACATGCAAAACATGTGGAGTGGCCGACAGCCATAATAGCTGAAGCTGCCCACGAAAGTAGTTAAACCATTAGTCCGTTTTTAATTATTAAGAGAAGTACAAACATCTGAATAATGAGTGTTTTTTGAAATTCTAAGGTTTTTTGTATGATATGGGAAGCTAATTTGCAAGTATCCTGGTGGTTGTGTGCATTGCGCAGTTAGAGTAATTAATTTCATTTGGTATAGGCATGAATTTGTGAATCCATTGGCATTGATACTACGAAAGGGTCTTGTACAGACATGCACTAGTAGTGTTTAAAAAACCAGTATAAAAAAGAAAACTATTAAACCACATGAATTCGACTAAATAAAACAACGAAACGTGCGAATAAATAAGGAAAATACTAAAGAGTTAAAGTACAAATGATTAGCGAATTAAAAAAATTTTAAGTAGGGAGGTAGGAAACATTGTTAGTGTTTGGTAGCATGTGCAAGTGATTGTTATAGTCGCCTCACCATCATTTGTTTACCATGTAGGCAGGAAAATACCGAAATGCCGTTTAAAAAAATGGAAAAGATAAAGTTTTCGCAAACAGTAACAAGTGCAAATGGACCCTTTGAATTGAGTACCAAAAAAGTGCATGTTTAATTGAGCATGTTTTGTATTTTATAAGTATGGGTTAATGTTAGTTTCATAGCAAACGTGGGGATCAATGTTAAATTTAAAATATAACACACATTTGTGAACCTGTGAATGGACAGTTTATAAATCTTTAGGTTGTGCTTAACCAAGCGCGCGAACCCGTTATAGTTGTAGCATGAGCACCGATACGGACATGCACTAGCAGCGTTTTAAAATGCAATATAGAAAAGAAAAAAAAAATAAACTACGTGAATGCGACAGAATAAGACAATGTAACGTTCAAATATATAAGGAAAATACTTACGTGTTACGGACGAAATAACTAGCGGACACAAAAGAGTGTTAGAAGAGAGCAATGAAACGTTGGAAGTGTGTTTGAGCGTGTGCAAGTGAATGTTCCAGACGGAGCATGAGATTTAGCACATAATGAAATCGCAATAATACCAAATTCCATACTAAAAATGTAATTAATAAAGTTTTGGCAGACGATAACAAGTGTAAATGGACTGTTCGAATTGATTTAAAAAGTAACGTGGATGTTTAAGCGAACATGTTATTAAATTTATAAGTGTAAGTTGGCCAGTGCGTGCGAGTTAATGTTAGAGTCGTAGCAAACGTTGGGATAGACCATAAACACGTACCTAGATTCAAAGTTTCAATGATATTTTATGTGCAACTTCGAATACTGATGCGTGCAGACATGTGAGAGGGGGGTAGGGAATATGTTTAACGGCAATTGGTTGTGTTACTTAATACAAAGCGGTAGATGCACTACTAATGTAAACAGTAGCAGGCATGAATAGTACACTGCACGAACAACATAAGCAACGGAATACAGAACTACCCGAAATAGAGAGCTAAATATTGAAAAATGGATGAGTAATGTTTGCGCACTGAGCAAAATATCCAACTATTTAAAAAATCCAAAAACTTTAAAGTATGCAAAAAATGTAGATGCGGTAAACAACTGCCAGTTATACATTTTCCATTCACCACCTTTCAGTCACTGAGCACCAGCAACACTGTTGACAATGATTTGGCGACGCGTATTTCTATGAAACATAAGAATTTCATAAACATACCGCACACGGAGGGAGAGCAAAGCCCGCGCGTCACCCCGGCTAAGACCGCAATCCCAGGAAGCAATAGACTGACCAATGTACGTCTCCATATGACGCATAGCAAAAACACCACAATCCACCTTATTTTTTGTATCACGCCATGACATTCGGACTCTCCTTGGGATTAGTTGCAACACCTTTACATAAAGTTCCGGATAACCAGCATCCTCAAAGAAGACCGATAGGACATCTCTCTGTAAAAAGTAAATAAATGGTCAAAACGACAAATCGATACCATGATGACTATAATATAACGGAGGGCCATTTGTTTAAAAGTAAAACACCAACAAATAATAAGGATAAATAAATACCAACACAGACGGGGTATCCCGGTACTTGGCAAGAGATACCCCATCCGCAAATGAGTTATCGATGAAACGGTTTGTACGGGAAAAAGATGCGACTATCCAAACGAGGATTGGCTAACCGTTGTGGTTGGGGATGCAAATAACCGCTTTGGTGCCCCAACGGGTTTGGACCTCTCACGGGCATTCAAAATGCAGGACCAAGCACTCAACACACCCACAAGCACTTGGTTTCCCCCCAACAATGACAGAAAGTCGCACTGACGAGCAGAACGGCCACAGTAGTTAAATAATTCTGCCGTCCTGAAACATTATAAGCAATAAATTAAAAAACATAATACGTCGAAACCCCCGAAAGACGAAATGTAAGAAAGCAAAAATACTTACAAGTCAACATTAGCAGTACGAGCAACCCAATCATAGACCGCTTGAGGATCAACATTATTGGCAACATGCATATTGGCAGCGCGAGTCCGCGTGAGGGGCGCATACGAATTGAAATCGATTGTGCGCAAAGCACCGACATCGTGCACTACAGGCCGTGAAGCCTTGACTGGTGCAGCACGCATTGGCAGACCGGATACCACGCCCTTGCACGGACCGAGCGTAGTGTTTTGCTACGACATGGGAACAACCCAGAGATGGATAAGTATGTATAAAAATTTTTATAAAAAGCGTGGGCAAGACGAAACCAGGGCGACAACAATACCTCAGGAGGAGTCGAAAATACATTCTGAGAGGTTGTACTACGTACACCCCGCCCACGTGCAGTCACGACCCCGTCCGTAACGGCACCCCCAATGGACTGTGCTTTTGGCGCAACTGAGAGTTGGTGTTCCAACGCACGCACCTATTACCAACATCGTTGTGGGTCAGAGAGGATTGAGATTGACGAAATAATTGTGGGCCAAAAATAGGTATACTGGTAACAAAACGGCATCCACACTAATACTTACAGGTACACAAGGTGCAGACCTACTACCCCCGGATGGAACATTTGAAGTATCACCCACATATTCGCGCACAATTGCATCCACCTCCTCCCAACATTGGGTAGGGAGATCTTGGGACAATCCATAACTGAACGACGAACCGTCATCACATCCCTAATAAACGCAGAAAGAACAATAAAATGAGCAGTGGGTATTAGCAAGAAGAATTTATGTGTGACAAACCAAAAATTAATGCCCATTAGCAGTTAGTAAGGTAGGAACAACTGTTATACAACACATATGCACCACACAGAAAGTACAATACCATGCGAAACAACTAACATACCACAGTTAACAATCAACAAAAAAAAAAAGGCCACTGGCAGGTGTAGCCACAAAAAAAGTGTATACCATCAACATACAACCTACACCCGCTTAACTTTCATGTGCTTGTACACAAGCATACATACAGCAACTTGGGGTTCGACCACATGACCCCCCGATGACTCATGCACAGACACCGGATCATGCTTTGGTGGCACACCCTCGGCACCATCAATAATAGGCCCCACCTGCTCATCAACAACACATGGTCCCGTATGTGGAACTGCTGAGGGATGGCTACCATCTTGTACCGCCCTAACCGCATCATCCACAACCTGAAAGCTCTCTGGGTTACTCCAAATCTCATCTCCACTATTCGGCGTGACACCGGCCGTATTTGCAACGCCAACTAGCTCTGTAGATGCATGGGTCTCAAACATAGAAATAATCTTCCGTCCACCGGTTAATACACGCAAAACGCTATCAGTGCGGGTGGAGCATTGAGGGTGAACCCCAACAAATTGCACAACATCATCCAACGCAGCGTCTAATGAGCACATCTTCGCAACAAACAATTCCCCAGGCGCCTGAACAATTTCAACGAATTCAAGAATTATAAAAATGGCCATAAAAATATAAAAAATATTACCATATAAGCGCATTTAAAACGCAATTGCATGTTAAACACAACAGCCTTTATTACAATTTTCAAAAAAAGGAAAAACTAAAACGACTAGTGAAAAAGCATTAAAAAAAACCATACCATGTACAACCATAAATCAGCACGAACAAACGCATAGAAACGCACACAATAATAAGCGTGTAACCGTGAATCATATAAAACAAGGGGAGAAAAATAATACACGACCACCGAAAGACAACAAGATAGTTGACTCTCTAATTCGCACACATCTAGTAACATATGTACGAAAATGTGAATAATCACAAACAAAATATGGCATCACTGTACTTGAATCACTAAAGGCGCACACACTTAATGGCATAATGCATACACCTATTAGGAACTAGAAGACAAAGAATTTCATAAAGAAAAAAGACCTGGGGGGCAGCAGGAGCAGAAACACGTGGAGCACTACGGCCAACCGGGGGAACAAAAAGCCCAACTATACTCCCAACACCAAACCTCCCAACCCCCACCTCAGCTAGCTCACGAGCTTTGAGAAGACCCATAATCCACCCTCAGAACGAAGGGAACGCCCGAGGAACGACCCTATCCGACTGCACAACCCTGTCAACATACAGAAGCTAAACCCGGAAACAAATTTGAAACTTGCACCGAATACACAAAATAGACGCACACGACTAACACCAAAATATATTACAGTATTGAATATCATACCACCAACATAAGAGCAGGCCCAGCAAAGGGCTTAGACCGGTCAACAAACCACTTAGTCTGCTCCTCCACCAAACAGTCCAACACAAACTTGCACCAATTAAGGTTTTTTATCTCATCCACATCTTCAAAATGATGGAAAACAAGCTAATTGGCATAACCATTCTTCATCGGGGATCCAAAAATACTAGCGGCCAGCACAGCTAAGTGGTGCTTAAACCAAACATCACCCTCCAAACAAGACGGGGTACGCAACATGTTCCCTATCTTAACCAACGTCACAGAATGATTCGAAACCTCGAATTTGGAACGCCACTCTTTGAGAATGTCGCTAACATCGTCTTTAGGCCTTTTGGTAATAGCAACACCTGCACGTGGCA